TTGGGTGTTTGGTGACACAGGATGTTCACCTTTGGTTATATCTAGGTCACATTTAAGTCTCTCACAGTTTAATTGACTGTAGAATTAAAATGATTTGGTCATTTGATGGTAATTTAATTCATCCTTTATTTATGAGATAGTGTATTATCATAGTTTTTAATTACAAGTATTTTCCCATATCTTCTCTTTACAACTGTCAGGCCAAAATAATTTTCGCTGTCATTGACTTTAAGTTAAATAGGTCTGGAGTAGCAACAGGCTTCTATCCTTAGTGCCTTTCTTTATGACATTTGATTGTATATCACCTTCCAAACACAGGCAGTTTAAAGTGGTTTATAACAAATATATGCTTTAGCTACATTTAATTTAAAAAAAGTGAAATAAAATATAAATTCTCCCAAATAAATATTTGCTATATGACCAAAAGTATGTGGACAAGCCTGTCTTTGTATGGTCTGGGCAGTTTTTGTTTCAGTTACAGGAAATCAGTAACTGTTTCTTGTCTCAACATGGCAATGCCCCTATGCAGAAGGCAGCATTCATAAAAAAAAAAAAAAACATTTTTCCCCCATTTTGGTGTGAAGGAACAGGTCTGCACAGAATCCTGACCTTGATTTCATCCAGCATCTTTGGGGTGAACAGGAATGCCAAACTGAAAGCCTTGCTGTCCAACATCGAGGTCTGACTTCACCCATGCTGGCAGAACAGGAGCAAACTCTTGCATGCTATGGATCTTAAGCGGTGGAGTTTATAGCTGCAGATTTCATGCCTCTGAAACATTAGTTACCACTGTGATCAAGTGGGAGTGAGCAGCATTTTGTGGAAACATAAACAGAAAAATAGTTTTGCACTTTGGGGGAGCTAATCTTTTACACTGGCAATACACCAATGGAATTCTTCACTCAACATGTGAGGATGTTGCCAGAGCAGAGGCAGGCCAGGTAATGGGGACACGCCTTTCCCTCTCATTGCCCTACATGCCACAGCAAGTATGACAAATCCATGGAGAGCTACTCGAAAGACAGAGAACATGAGCGAGTGGGTGGGGAAAATGTGGAGAGAAGAAAAGGGTAAAAAGAATTACAACTACATATAGTAGTAAAAGAACTACTGCAACAACTTCAGACTTCTTTTCCAGCTCCAGGTGTCTTCTTTTGGTGAGTCTGTCTCATTTTCTCATTCGTGAGTGTGTATCAGTTTCTGTCAGTAACAACACAGTGGTTAAAGCTGCCAACAAATCACTTCAATCATATGCCAATACTGTTGAAGGAGAGGCTCGGATCTGTTTGCTCTTGCAGGGTTTCCCGTTGTGTTTTCATGGGTCTTGTGACTTTACTGTCAGGTTTATTTGGTAGTTGTGATTTGTTCAAATATAAACGCTTCACTTTATACAACTATATCTGTAGCCGAGCTCTTACTTTATTCTGTTTTATCTCTACGTGCAAGGTTTTACTCTGTAGGTGGAACAGGTGTGTTTTAGTAGGTATGTGCATGAGTCACACAAGACACACAATACACCTTTTAAGTCAGCCAGGTTTTATAGTCCTAGACATTGTCATTTATTTTACAGAGGCCTGTGCTTGTACAAATTATAATAAAAGGCATTGAAAATGGGAGAAAGAGTGAAACTTTTGACGTGTTAAAACAAACACTGCCGACCACAAGAGTAACAGAAAGAGTCAATATAAGAATATCGCCCCTAAGTTGGTTATAGGTGGTATGTGGTGTCCTATTGCGAGGCTGTTGCACAATATGGCACAGTTTCACTGGCTTCTGAGGCTTTAATGCCACTGTGACTGCGGTTTTCTGTGAACATCGCCCATGTGGTTACATTTCTGTCTCTTTCTAATTTTGAAACCTTGAAAAAGCCTTTTTTTTTCTACCACAATTAATTTTGAAACCCATTAGCAAATCTGCAGTACACCGTGTACTTTAAAACTAGGCCAAGGGAACAAAAAGAGAACACCTTTTATATAAGCTGCATAAATTTAAACTTGCGTTTCAACTTTTTATTGCACATCTGTGCATCATCTTGCAATGCTTTTTTTGCAGTCATTTTCCATTATGAAATAATGTAAGCAGTTTCTTTTTACAGTATGTTTGTCGACATTTATAATTTAAAATATGCTCTTTTCATAAAGTGAATTAACTGGTTTTGTAATCTGTTATTCTGGGTTTTAAAAACAGTCAGAAACCTGAATTGTTCAGTTTAAAAACATAAAAACAAGCAAACAAGAAGAAATAAAATAGAATATTTACTTGTCAAATGCCTAAATGAATTAATAGACAAATTACCTTAATATTTTTCCTAAAATGTGAGTACTCTAAAGGAAAGAAAGAAAGAGACATTTTCTGAAGCCCCAGTCCCTTACATGTGCCACCGCATACATGCGTCTAGCTTCCTCTTTGATATACAACAATATGTGCCGCAGTAGTATGTGTAGTACCTATATCTTATAGGAGCAGTACTAGAAGTAAATACCTTCAAAATAACAAATGAGACAATGCTGCTTTTGAATCTGTAAAATCACATGGTGTGCTCTGCTTTACTATAGCTTACACCACATGGATTTACCCTCTAATAATCCATTATTACTTGACAACCTGTAAAAAATAAGAACATGTTTGGTGAGCAGATGTGGGTGTGAATATCTGGTTATGCACAAGAGCACCTACACTGCATAGTTGGGTGTCAGCAGTGTCAAGGGCGTGCTCTTGTTAAGAAATGTGGAGCTAGTGATGACATGTTACCTTTTAAACAAATTTTTCCAGCAACAGGAAATGTCTGTAGCACCTCTACAGTACAGACAGGTGACAAATGAAAGGAAAAGCCAGCATAAAGTGTCTTAGTGACATGCTGGGCCACCAGAACAGCTTCAGTGCACCTTGACGTTGATTCCCCAAGTCTCTGAACTCTGCTGGAGGGATGAACCATTCCTCCAACAGATACTCTGTCAGTCCAAAATCTCCCTTGGATGTTCAACTGGGTTGACATCTGGTGATTTATATATTTTTTCTCGACTGTATTTCTAAATATATTTCATATTTTTCCTTGACATATGTAAAACTCTCTATATTGCTTTTTTATTTAGATGGCCCTGCAAATAAAGTCACCTCATCAGCTCTAAAACAATAGAGCAACGTAATGACTATTGCTCAGGTCTTACTGTTCATGAATTAAAAATCCTCGCTAAAACCTGTTAAACTCACACACTTTCCTGCAGAAATGCATTCTTGCATTGTCAAACCGAGGTCTCTGCCAGATGACACATGGAGTCGGATTCAGAGACGAGGCCTCTAATTAGTTAGAAAATATCCAGACGTATCTGCTGGAGTCAGTGTGTAATGCAGTAGGATGGTGACAGCAGAGAAATGCTTACATATTGTAGTTAGTTCTTGGGGAAACTGCTATGGAAACATTTTTTCATAGTAATTTCAGAACTCACACATTTAAGGTTTGATTTGTTAGCATTTGTATGTATTGTTAACAGTGATGTGAAAATTCATGTTCTCTAATTTCGCTGTGTTTTAAGTATTTCCTATCCTCTTAAAAGATGCAAATGCTTACTCAACGGTTTGATGAAAATTATTCATCCATATTCTTATAGCTTGTGGACTGCTTCCTGTTTGGTGCTTTTATTTTGGTTAGTTTCCTGTCCTATATCACCTCACTTTCTCCAGCTTTACTCCAGTCACAATCACCATTCAGTGTTTCCACCTGCTGCCCTGACCATTCTATTAATCTTTAGTTCTGTCCTGTCAGGTAGATCACCCAGAACTTTAGTTTCTTTTTGAATAAAGACTGATAAACTATTAGAACCAGAGTTTGTGTCTGTACTTTGGGTCCTTCCTTTGCTTTAAACCCAACATATTCTCCCTTTGGCAGGTAACAAAAATGGCCCTGGGTGGCAGCGTCCCTTCCCTAGACAACTCCACATCTTTCAAAAACGAGACCATTGTTGATAACCCAACTGCCACCGCTATGGGCGCCCTCATCATGACCCTCGCCTTTCTTTTGGGCCTTCCTGGAAATGCTTTCGTCATCTGGAGCATCCTGACACGTGCCCGAAAACAGACTGTCACCACCCTCCTCATCCTCAACCTAGCCATCGCTGATGGCTTTCTAATGGCTCTCACCCCATTCTTCATCATCTACTTGGTTTTGAAGAAGTGGGTGTTTGGGAGGGAGATGTGTAAGATCCTGTTCTACCTGTGCCTGGTCAACATGTACGCCTCCCTCCAGCTCATCATGGTCATGAGCATCTACAGGCTGGTGGCAGTGCTGTTTCCACAGCGCATCAGCGCCATCACCAGGCAGAGAACTGTAATGCGGTTGCTGGTGGTGGTGTGGGTGCTGGTGATGGTCGCTTCTGTTCCTGCAATTATCTTCAGGGATGTGAGGAATAACGTGTGCAGTTCATTCCATGATAAAAACAGTCATGTGAGTCATTTACAGCAGAAGATTTCCATGCCACTGACATCTCTGGGTTTTGAAAAACTTACCTCCGAATATTGTTATATTTTCTCTAATTTCATCATATATCCTCTACACAGGTGGTCCTCCAGTACACACCAGAGCTTGTGCTTGGTTTTCTACTTCCCTATGGGGTCATTTTAGTCAGCTACATCTGCATCTTACGCCGGATCCGACAAACCAAGTTCCGCCGTCGAATTCGTAGCGAGAAGCTCATCCTGGCCATTGTGTTGACTTTCTGCTTCTTCTGGTTGCCATACCACATTGTCAACATAGTGCAAGTACGTCACACATCCTGCTTTCACAGAAAACACAAGTGTCATGAGTGTGAGTAAAACATGCTGATCGTTTTTACTGATGTGATTTTCTGTCCCCCTCAGATTTCATGGGCTTCAAGTCCAGAGGGTCCAGTGAAAGGAATGTAAGTGACAGCATTGTGAATGCAATCTTATCTTTGTGGCTAGGAGTACATTTCAAACACTAATTAATCATTAGTGTTATCTACAGTACCTTTACATAGTACATATTGAGGCAGGAGTGAGTTAGGTGCAATTGTCTTAGGGTCAAATTGGACCATTTAATGCACCAATTATTGACTAACAGTCTGCTTTGGCTTTCTTTCTGAGAGTTAGATGGGAAGATGGGTTTGGAGCAGTATACATCTTGTTAACTGGTAGTGGGTGCCTTTTAATCTTTAAATATAGCAGAGCCAGGTTAGCTATGGATGGATCATGAGACAATGGGCCCCCTCCTACACTTCTAGCAGCAAGACTCTCAGACTGAGCAACCAGATGAGTAGTAGTTGGCATCATTTTCTAGTTGTTTTGTGTCCCTTTGTAGTTTTACCTTTATGTGTGGCCATTTTATATAGATTTCTGCTCATTTTGCACCTATTTCTACTTGTTTTGGCTTCTATCAAATTATATTACTGTCCCTGGTAGTCCCGTTGAATAATTCAACCATGAGGTTAGCCGTTTCCACTTCCTGTCGGTCTTCATACTAAGATACTCCAAGTCCTTCCTGGCTCTAGCTCCATACACAAGTGGTTTAAGTTAAAGTAATACATTTATTGTTGGCTGTTTTAATGTGCAGAATAGTTTGGTAAAAATGACAAGTTCTTTTGTTTTACTCTAATAAAATGGTATGCTTCTCTCTCCACCCGTCAGACTAGGCAAAATATGGCAGAGGAGCCGTGCTGTCACCTCTTCCATAGCCTTCATCAGCAGCTGTGCCAACCCGGTGCTTTACTTCTTTGCAGCAAAGTCCTATATTCGGCGTGAAGGGCTGGCGTTCATGGCTCGCTTGTTTGAGCACACTGGTTTGGACTCAGCCACTAGGAAGAGCCGTCAGAACAGCCGGCAGAACAGCCAGAACAGCCGCGAAAAAGACAAAGATGCTGAGGTTGTCATGTTAAAGGACAAAGAGCAGGACTCTGAAACCAACTCGAGCTCTAACATCAAAGAGGTGAAGAATGTTAAGTAGAGGATATGAGAGGCAGCAGACTTGATACTGGTGTTGTCATGCTGGAGGGGAAGTTAAAGCTCTTCTTCATCCAGTCACAAACTGAAACATTTTAACAAGACTTTTTGGTTTGTGTACAGCTGGTTCTTGCTGATCAAGAAAAAGATTCAGCTCTGTATAATGTGAATCTTTCTTCCTAATGAGACTGTCGCAAACTCTGACAGGGATGTGTCTTGGCACACTGCTCTGGGAACCGATGGCCTCCCAAAGGATTCCTTAAGTGACATTGTTGTTTTGGAGGTGGAGTTTAAATGAACACACTGATGTAATGTATTCTACTGTTTCCTAAGAAACAACTGTGGAGTATTATCCAAGATGTTCACACTGCTCACCACACCAAACCCCTGTCAATGCCCACGCCCCAAGCGGTGTCCTATGTTTACAGTATGTTTATTGTAAAGTCATTGTGCAAGATTTGTCTGTTTTCTTTATGCAACATTTTACTTGTACTGCCTGAAGCTCAGGTTAAGATGAACTGGAACATTGACTACTGAGAGCTGAGTCAAGCAAGGCTGAGAGTTCATGTTTGACAAAAGCACTTGAATTTGTTTTTGTGCATGCGCTTGTTGTATCCGGTACTTTTTACCATACGGACTCAGAGATGAGGCAGTCCAAGTAACTTCAAAACAGTGCTGATTTATTCCATGAACACAGGTAAAAATTAACATTACATGCTCAGGCATCTTGCACCTCCAACCTGCACGCAGGCAGATGAAAGATGAAAGACCCTGAACCAAACCAGGCCTATACATTTATCTCTTCGGTTGGGCTAGCCCCATACTACACAGAAACGCCAAACCATGACTTGTCCCTGGTGCCAGCTTTGCACTTGGCCATAGCAGTAGTCAAAACATGAAGTAAATCAATGTATGTGTGTCTGTTGATTAAGTGGTGTGTAGCTAAAAACATTCTCACACAACCTCTAGTAACATGTCATGACATTAAACATAAGAAAATATTATGGCTAAGGCTACAGTTATACACATCATAATAATAATATTACACATCCTGTGTGCTGACAGTCATCAACTCTTCTCTCTAGTTATCCTTGACCAGATGTACCCTGTAGAAACTCATAAGCATGACTAAGCATTTAACAGTCTAACTAGACATCCTATCTCCACTAAACATTTCTAATACATAAAGTATCTATCCAATATCTATCTGACTAAAAATACCTAACACGCTGCAGGATTTCACCCTTTTTTTTTTGTTTCACTTGTCATGTATAAAAGTATTTTTGGATTAGCAGAACAAAGTCTAATTCAGCAAACAAAAAGCATTGCAGGTGTTTATTTCAGCTGTGTTTCTGGCGAAAAAGAAACTCTTCTTTAGTTCTATGTTGGCCTCAACCAAATCATTTGCCTTTTAGCTTCTTAATGCTCCACCAGCTAACTTTATATGTGGGTAGTTTGGTGCTGAGCAGGATACAGCAGGTTTGTCAGAGCGCTGCCTCATGTGGCTGCAATTGAGATTCATGAAGATGATTAAAAACAATGAAATCATGGTCATAAAGTCAAATCAGGCACAGAACTGGAGGCTCATTCTGTTTGTCACCATGAGTTACCCTTTTTCACATTACACATACTTATTTGATCTGTTAATATGAAAATAATGCTTAGTGCAGCTTTACAGCCTAACCTGATTGTTTTAATACTTCACTCTGAGCACCCACTCAAAACAATGAAGTAGAGGGAAAAACAAAACGAAGTAAAGCATCTTTTCCTGAGACACAACTTTGCTATGCCCTGTTCCTCAAGATCAACTTGCAACAGACAGAGGTTATGTGGAAAGAGGAGTAATCTGTAAATGTGTGGGAGTGTCTGGTGCAAAAGGGCAGGGAATGTACACCATAGAGGTATGACTGAAAGGTCATGTATCAACAAGATTCTGCATTTTTACGGGAACATCCCCCCACCCAGTGTTCATTCATGCTCTTCCTTAAAATGATGCCATCAGTTTCACAGTGTTTTATGACTCCATTATATCTGCTCTTTTCTCTTTCACACTAAGCTGGCTGATTTTAAATTTCTCTTATACCCACAAAACAGCATTAGGCTAATGTTCATATTCATATATTCAAATATATTCATATTTCATGTTTTCTGGAAGACTTCACAGGAAATTATGTTCTACAAAAGACCACAGATGCCCTCTCAATTTTTTCTGTAAAGTTGACACAAACACCTGTATCCCCTTGTACCTGCATTTGGCAATACTGGAATACAATAGAATTAAATGTGTAGGAGGAACAATAGCTATAATGAGCTCAAACTGCCTTCCTGTGGTCACTGGGTTTCCCCTCACATGGCCTCCCTTACTCAATATATATATATTTTTTTTTTTGCTTTTTTCTTCTGGTGCAGTCTTCAAGTAAAAAGGGAAGGAGTTGGCACTAGATTCGACATGGTGTTAGATTGATAACCATCTAGTAGTTTGGTTTTAAAAAGACATCTTCATTTGAAGGTCAGTATGTATTGTAAGATTTCTAAAATTACTTATATTTTCAAATTGCAAACTTTTGTTGTTGCTGTTTGACTCAAAGACCTTAAGATTTTTAAGAGAGAGGAAGAACTCATATCAGCACTAGTTTCCCTGGTGTATAAAAAATGTGGCAAATATGAAAGATATCTAAATAGCTCTAACATTTTTCTGGTGCTTTATAACCGATATCGGTCAAATGGATTTTATTTTATATCGCTCATGCAGCATGGCATTTGCTCTTGTGGAGTACTTTGCATGATTCACCTCACTGAGGGGAATCACGGTGTAGCAGTGAATGAAGAGCACAGCCAAAGTTAGCTAAAGATCTCATTTTTACACAGAGTAAACTGTTTGAATCTTAATGTATAATTTATTATTTCATAGAACTAGAGGTTTAATTTACTTTTTGCACGTGTTTCAAATGTGCCACCCCTCTGAGTCTGTGCCCCCGCCTGGCCACCCGTTCCAAAATGTTCTCCATCTGCCCCGTTCTAATTTTCAAGATTTACTGAACATATTGTATATTGTATTGTGCTATTTTTGGTGGGCAACTATCTTTATGGTATAAAAATGAAGAGTAAAGCCACATTTGATTTTGTTAGATCGGCTCGAACACAGGGGTGAGAGAGTCACAAAAATATGACGGACCCAGGAGGCTGACTTCAGTGCAAGCAGTGCCAAGTTTAATTACAGTGAAATATAACAAGGAAATGAATAGTAAGGTAGAAGTGGGACCGGGTGTCGAGCTGCAGAAGTGAATACAGTCAGTGGCTGAATGATGAGGAGAAGACCGGGCTGCGGACGCTGGCACTCACTCCTGGACTGGTCGTGGTGGAAAGTACTGAGGAAGAACAGAGTTTGTACATATAGTTAGTAGGAGACTGTGCATCGACCTGCGTGGTGGAGAAGGAGCCGAGTAGAGGAGGTCTGTGGTCCGGAGAAGCGACAGAGGCGAGGAGGAATGAAACAATGGAGCTAAAGACTGGAACAGAGCTAGGGCGACAAAACGTGAAGATACTATACAGTAAAAGAGAACGGGGAAACAAACGGGCCTGATAACGCTAGAAAGAACTGGCAGGGGAGACATCTCAGCCCATATTTACACCCCCAAACACCAATCTCTAGATAAAAAAAAAATAAACTGCATCTGAATATTTGTTCAAACAAATGGCAAAAATAAAAAAAGAACAAATAACCACAAAATAATTTTATTTATTATATAAAATTTGTATTTTGTGGCATTCATGTGGACAGCAAAGTAAGAATTTCATTGTACAGGGAAACACGTTTCCTAACTGTGCATATGACAAAATAAACACTGAACTTTGAAATGCCGGCATCTAAACACAATCAGCCACATTAAAAGGAAGTCAAAATGCCAAAGGTACAAGCTGTGCATAAATCTTGTGCAATAAGGGTTACACGTTATCTCATGGGAGAACACACGTTATCTCATGGGAGAACACTACTTGTGTGACTACTACAGGAAACCTGCTGACGACCATGTTCCTATGATCTCTGCTGTGTAGATATGCAGTAATACATAATGCAGATATACTGCGCAATGTCTCACAGCAGTGACACACATTCACATACCACAAACATAACACAACATATCCTGTTTCCTGCTTGTTTTTTCTTTGAAAGGTTGTGTGAGTCTCAGTACTTGAAACCCAACTCAGATTCTTCCCTGATGGCGTCCAGTATCAGCAACTCCACCTCCCAGCAGGCCTCCGTGGCCTCCTTTTCTCTGCCCATGACTGTGTCAGACCAGGTCAGTATTGCCATCCTGACCTTAGCCTTTGTGCTGGGCTTCCCCGGGAACCTGTTTGTGGTGTGGTCAGTGTTTTGCCGGGTGAAGAAGCGTTCGGTGACCTGTCTGTTGGTGTTGAACCTGGCAGTGGCGGATACTTTCGTGCTGCTCAGCGCCCCTTTTTTCCTGCGTTTCCTGGCTGGACACCAGGGCTGGGAGTTTGGCTCAGCAGCATGTAAGCTGGTGCATTACCTTTGCAGCGTGAACATGTACGTGTCCATCTATCTCATCTGCCTGATGAGCTTTGACCGCTGCCTGGCCACCACAAGGCCTTTCCTGTCCCAGAGAATGAGGACCAAGCACTCCCTGCTGGGTTTCCTGCTGGGTGTCTGGGTGATGGCATTCATCCTGTCACTGCCAATGCCTTTCTATCGCAGGTAAGACTTAAATTTCCTGTATACCTTTCAACCTATTATGTTTCTAATTAAAAAAAAAAGCTTAGTTTTTATGGCTGCTGCAAGACAAGTTTTGATATTTAAGTTAAGCACACATTTCATGCACATCAAATTTAAAATGCTGCTTCATCACCCTTTTCACCAGCTTGTTTTCTACTGTAAATATTAGCAAGTCATTTACTAGCAATGTGGGATAACAGGTTCCAGCAGAATGTCCAATTCTGGCCGTTGTGCACCTACCCATTTCCGTTATATAAGTAAAACCTGATGGAGAAAATTGTGAAATAGCTCAGTGTATGTGGTGATGAAACTTCCTGGTCAGACCCTGTCAAGTGTGTCCTGCTGTCATGTTGAATGAGGAACTTTGAGGACAGCTAGCACCAAAAGACACTTACAATACAAAGCTATTCATGTGTCACCCACTAAATCTTAATTGGCTTTTTGATCTTTTAATTTAATAGTTTTTCACTAATTAGCTTCCTTATAAACCTGACCTGACACCATCTTTGGATGTGTCTGTGTTGATTGTATCAATATATCATCATCATCAACATCAACTTTATTATGGACACAATGAATGAGGGTCCATAAAATTAAAAAAAGAAAAAAAATATACAGTAAATGCAAAATAATATAAAATGAATACACTAACCCCACCACCACCACTATCCCACACCCCTACACATACATCTAAATGTCTAAGAATCCAGCTGAGCAGGTGATGCACCAACCTACTGTCACATTTACTTTCATTTTGTGATTTCTGTCCCCCTCTGCTTCTCTGACAGTAATCTGAAGATCCCACAATACAACAATACCTTTGTTTGCATTCCATACCACTGGAAAAGTGTGGGCCACCGGGTCTTCCAGTACCTGTTTGAGACCATCATGGGCTGCCTGGTGCCCTTCTCTGTCATCAACATCTGCTACTCCTCTGTCATTTGCCGCCTGCAAAGCGCTAAGTTCCAGCGCAGAGAACAAGGAACCCGCCTGATCCTGATGATCATCTGTGCCTTTGCAGTATTCTGGCTGCCCTATCACATTGTCAACATCATAGAGGTGATTGAATTTTTTGTTTAAAAAGAGTTTAACCAAACATACATTGAATAGAAACTGATTACTAATTACTACCTGATTATTAATTTGCAAATATGGAGATGCGGCAGCATGGTGACGCAGTGGTTAGTTCTGTCACCTCACAGCAAGAAGGTTCTGGGTTTGACCCTCAGATGACCCAGTGCCTTTCTGTGTGGGGTTTGGATGTTCTCCCTGTCCCTGGGTGGGTTCTCTCCAGGTGCTCCAGCTTCCTTTCCACAGTCCAAAGACATGCAGCTTAGGTTGATTGGTGACTCTAAATTGCCCATAGGAATGAATGTGGTTGTCTGTCTCTAGGAAGACCACTGAACTGCAGAGATGCTTTGATTTCAAGCATGTATCTATAAGATACAGGTGTTTTGCCACTCATTTGAAGGCTGGTTTCTGATTTGCATTTTAAAATTCCATGTTGTTTTGATAAGTCCAGCATAGTATACATTTCCACGGCTCTACTTCTACTGGAGAATTTGTTTACCTTGTCCTTCCTTCCTCTAACCTCCCTCTTCTTCTCTCCCTCCTCCAGGTGGCCGGTCTGTTACAGGACAATATATCAGTGGTCAGCGCTGCTCAGACAGCTCGTCGAATTGTCACGCCCTTCGCCTACTTCAGCAGTGCTGTCAATCCCATTCTCTACGTGTTTGCTGGCAGCTCCCACATCCGTCAGGCCGGCCTTGGCTTCATGGCCAAGCTGTTTGAAGCCACCAACTCGGAGAGCAGGAGCACATCTACCTTCAGCCACAGTGGCCGCAGCAGCTCCACACCGGATGAGAGCTCTGTCCTGCACACGCTGTCAGTCAAAATGGGGAGGTCTGTCAAAGGCAAGAACAAGGAGAGGAGCAGGAGTGTGGCGGGCAAAGAGGTCGAGAGTCTGCACAGTGTCGAGCAGCAACAGTAGCATTTAAGTCATTTCTTTAGTCTACCTTTCTAAACTGCTTACTTAGACACAGACTGTGTTGATCCATGATTTTGTCATTTGGAGCTTTTACATCTATGGGCCTTACACACTGAACTGAAAATGGTTTCCTGTACAACATTAGGAGAAGGAATGGTAAATCATGAAGCTACATTAACAAGATAACAAGACAAGAAGATAATTAATGAATCATTATTAATTGTTTGTAATTTAATATGATTTCAGCTCATATATTTTTACAAGCCTAAAAATATTTGTATAGCAGTGACTTTACAAAGTGTATGTTATAATTTTATCATGTATTTTAAGCATTATGGGCCCACGGTGGTTTCAATGTATAAACTAATTATTTACATCTGTTTGCACTCTTTGTCTCTGGCCTAAAATTATTTTTGTCAGGAACTTTTTAAAATAATGCCTATGGTTATTTTCTTGTGGATAACTACTAGTTTATTTTGGCTGTTCTGTATTTGTCATAGGAGGCCCACACAAGTACTATACTTCGAGTGCTAGGCTGTCTTGCAAAATTAACTGTCTTTTGCACAGATGTATGAAAAGACCCAGTTACTCATGCAGTACTCACAAGCATGAACAGGACATTGCATAAGAAAGATTTCACCAAAGCATCCATCCTTTCACTGTTTCATAACACTTGACTGAAATCTCCAGAATATAAAAATCCATGTTATTGTTAATCTTTTTGCAGATCAATGCAACTTTCCTCACACAAACCGATAAGTGACAGAGGATGGACAGTGTGAGCTCTTGGCAGGATAGTGTCCTGTAGACACAACTGTACAGCTTGATGACAAAATGCCTGTCAAAGATGACACTTCTCCATCATTCATGTCTTTTTTTCTTGTCATGTGTGGCAAGCTGATTTTTTCCCCCTTCCTTCCTGACTCTTTTGACTGTTGTTGCCACTGGTTTCCGTTATTTTTTAGAGAACCATAGGTGTTAGATTTGACTTGTGTGTTACAACTTGTTTTGCTTGAATTAAAAATTTTAATGCTCATGAGTCATGTTAGTAGGAAGTGGAAGGCAACAAGCTGCCCGATCTGTGTATGGGTAAGGCATAGCACCCAGGTTTTCCCAGCACCCCTCCTTGGGATCATAGCAATGCACCCACTTGGTATCCCTTGCTGTGTTTGCTGAAGACCCTCCTACCACATATAGCCGTCCATCAAGTACAGTTGCCCCTGGTGACAAATGTGGTCGTGGCAGGGTGGACCAGGAGTCATGTGTGGGGTCATACAGCTCACAGAGTAGTTGGTCTCCAAAGCCCATCCAGAGTGGCTGCACGCCTCTAGCTACCACCAACCCCTTACCCAGAGCTAACATGATATGACCCACACGTCCTGCTCCCGCAGTCATAGGCGCACTGAGAGAGGTGCCACTGGAAGTATGGTAGTGCCACATAGAGGAAAGGCAGCACTGATGGGGGTCACAGCCTCCAGAGATGTAGATCTGCCCGCCCAGTACAACTGCAGCATGGCTGCACACAGCTGTGTTCAAGGGGTGAGCCTGCCTAATGGGGACGACACCCAGGAACACAAGCAGGGGATGTATCAAAGAAAACTCACTGTGAACTTTTATCAACCTCTAAACTTCTCCTAAATCTTTCTTCTACATTGTTTAAAAAAAAAAATCTTCTGAGATCCTAAGATGTTATGCTTTATGATAGTATCTTTACAGTATATCCCACATAATTTAACACATTTACATGAATTCAGGATAAAATAATCATGTTAGGAAACTTGAGGATTGTGTCAGTATAATCCACTAGAGGGACATGCAATTTTCCCTTTGATATACAATCAATATATACCATAAACAGTTAATAAAGGAATGTCATTAAACTGCAGCATATAATTATAGTGTCATAAATTTTAATATTTGTTTATGCATGATCATAGTAAATGTTGTTGGTATACATTACAGGGGTTATGAAAAATATTTGTAATTGTACACCTGATACAACAAGGCTACTTTTAGTAAATTTTATGTTGATGAAAACTAGTGCTGACTACTTGTTAAATCCAAGTAAAGTCCAAGTTTGCCAAAAGTGTATGAAAGTTCTAAAATATAGCTCAGACATGCCTGCCTCTTCAGGATGTGTTAATATATATCAGAGAGCTCCATTCACCAGTGGTCTGTGGCAGTAACAAACAAATTAATATTACTGTGAACAAATGTGATTTACAATGTGCTGGTGTTGTTTTTTTTTTACTATCTCAGGGAAATGTTGGACTTCAGCTTTGCTCTTAAATCCATTTGCCCCATTTGAACCGGAAACAGTGATACACCCTAATCCTGGAATCGCCATGTTAGCTGACGTCACTGTGAAAAGGGCCCATCCTACAAGTATGGGTGAGTCAAACCTGTTTCTTCAAGGTTAAGTAAACATAACACATATAAACAGGAATGGCCACATTTTTAGGGACAGCAAGTGTGTAATTGCCATGTGGAACAGGGAGACAATAAAAACAAAATAGGCATTTGTCCTCGTATTTGTAATGGGTAGTCAAGAAATGCCCCCGAAAGCTAAAAGAAATCTGCAAAATGTATACACATCAACCAGCCAATAAGAACATAACAGGGTAACACCTGTCAGTGTGGCTCCAGAGCTCAGTCTTGTCTTTTGAAAAGTGGATCTTTTTTTGATTTGTCAGTAATGTATGTTACTGTGAACCGACCAGGTTATCATTGTTTAGTTAATCCAGTCTCAGCACAAAGTATCAACTCGCAGGAACCTTGGAGTCATCTTTGATCAGGATATGTCCTTTAAATCACACATACAGTAAATCAAGTCTCTAGAACTGCCTTCTTTGACCTGCGCAATATTGCAAAAATCAGGAGCATCCTGTCTCAAAGTGATGCTGAAAAACTGGTCCATGCATTTGTTACTTCCAGGCTGGACTACTGTAACTCTTTACTATCAGGATGTCCCAATAATTCCCTAAAAAGCCTCCAGTTAATCCAAAATGCTGCAGCCAGAGGACTGACAGGAACGAGCAAGAGAGATCATATCTCTCCCATATTAGCTTCTCTCCACTGGCTCCCTGTAAAAGTCAGAATAGAATTTAAAATCCTTCTCCTAACATACAAAGCCCTTAATAACAAGGCTCCATTGTATCATAAAGACCTCGTAGAGCCTTATCATCCTAACAGAGCACTTCACTCTCAGAGTGCAGGTTTACTTGTGGTTCCTAGAGTCCACAGAAGCAGAATGGGAGGCAGAGCCTTTAGCTATCAAGCTCCTCTCCTATGGAACCAACTCCCAGTCTCAATTCGGGAGGTGGACACCCTCTCTACCTTTAAGATTAGACTTAAGACGTTCCTTTTTGATAAAGCTTATAGTTAGGGCTGGATCAGGTGACCCTGAGCCTTCCCTTAGTTATGCTGCTATAGGCCTAGGCTGCTGGGGGCCCCATGATGCTCTGAGTTTCTCTCCCCTCCCATACAAACTAATGCTACTCAATGACAAAAATGCCTATCATTTCATAATGTCGTGGCTAGAGTGTGATGCCGACTAAATTAATTCAGACAAACCATCCCAATTTAAAGGATCATTTAATATTACAATTATTCTGAATAGAGTAGTATTTAAACAGATAATCTTGTAGTTAGGGAAACAGAGAACAGGGACTCTCCTCCTGCAATGTGATAGATAAAGCATTAAATAAGAAGATTGTCAAACGCGTCAGTCCAGTCAGTTTTTGTTGGTCACGAGTCAGTCTTTCTGTCAACCCACAGTCAGTTGTCCCCCAAAAAGCACATGGTTTACTGTCCCAGTAGCATTCTCTCTCTCTCTTTCGCTCTCTTACCCAGCTCTCCGTCAGCTCTCCCTTACACAACTAGTGCACATAATATCTATATGAAGTACATACTGTTACCTTGTTTATTTTTAGCCACTACAATAACAAATATACTAGTGTATACATGTAAACAATTGTTGCTTGTGTTTATGTGAAAATGTTAGTTTTTGAACATGCAACAAAATGTTGGGTAATTCATATGTCATGGAGAAAATATTAGGCAGGTTTTCAACAAAACATCCATTGTTGATAACTGATTAAACAAGTGAGTCACTGCTCAAAAACAGTTTTTGCAACCATTGTAATGACTTTCTCCTCTTAGCTGCATAACCAACAGCTGATATAGAAACATGTTGATGAAGTGTTCTGGGAAAGGGCCTCTGAGAAATGTGTATTGTTAACTGAGATGGAAGTGCAAATATTTTTATGTTGCGCTAAATTAAACAGTATATCCACGCTACGTTTGACAGGGAAATGTAGTTTTTACTCAAGTGCCTATAACTTAAAGCTACAGAATGTTTGCTATAGAAATTTCACATTCACAACATTTTCTCAGTTAATAAAATCAGAAGTAGTTTTAGTTTAGTTCTTTTGTTGTAAACATAACCTTGCTCATAACAGAACTGCAGTTTTTGCTGTCATGTGTTATCACATATCATTTATTAATATACTGCAGTGATCAGTTAAATCACTCCTTGTAGATGACTCTGGTACCTGTAGCAACACACTCCCACTATTGCAGATGTTGCACAACAGTATTACGTTGCTTCTGACAGACAATTATAACTGATACAGACATGGTCTATTGTCAGGAACATGTAAACAAAGGTTAGTTTGCCATTTGAACAAATGACTTGTGCTTTTTTTTGCCTTGAGGATATCTTCATTTGCCTCTTACCTGAGTATTTCTCTCCACTCTCTGCTTGTATTGTGACATCACATCCCACTCCTCAATCCCATCTGTCCCTTATGACTATCAAACCCCTGTCTCTCTCTGTGGCCACAGAGGTTGTGACCTTCAGTGACTTTTGCCTAAGCCTGTCCATCTTCAGACACCTGCAAGCATTCAGCACTTCCTCCATTACCTCCTCTTTATCCAAGTCCATGGCAATGTTTCCACAGTATGCAAAGTCCAGAACAGCCCTTAAACCCACTGGAGTCAAAGCATGGGCTATTTCTTCCACTCCTAGCCTCGACTTTTGTTTTGAGCCAAAAAAATGCATTGGGAGTTTCACTGGCAGCTGCCACCACCAGTCTGTGGGCTTGGAACAAGTTGCCCTGGATGAGAAAGGTGCAGTCCAGGAGTAGTCCTTCATCCTGTAGGCGATGTAGGCGAGTGAACAGGATGTCAGGGTGTGAGGGAAGGATGTAATGAAAGAGAATTGGGTCTTCAGGGATAGATGAAGGTGTATGGTGAAGGGTGTGATGGGCTTTGGATGTTGGCATATGCTTTAATTCTGTGTTTGACACATTTTTGGTTTTGAAGGAGAGTTTCTGCTGCACTTTTTTCCCCAGCATCATCCATATCTCTTAGACTTCCTTCTCCAACTGCACCTGTTCATGTTCCAATTATTCCTTCTCCTCTTTGTTTTTTTTCATAATTTGTTGCTGCGCCCACCATCACCTGGTCCACCACCTTGTCATAGTGTAGATGGCCAAACATTTTCTGGCAGAGTACGCTGTGCCAAGAAAGGACAAAACGAGAGAAAAATATGAAGAAAACAAGGACAGTGTGAATGCTGCATTCCTGGAAATGTCACACACATAGTCACTGCACTTATTTACTCTCATATCAGACACGCATTGATTACCCTCATGACCCCTGATGTGGTTCTCTAGCCCTACCAAATATAACCTCACCTACAAAATGAAATGTCAACAAATCCCTTATGACTGACACTCTCAATTTCACTGGAGGTCATACTGTCAGCATGTCCAAAGTGTCAGTAGAGAGCCATTGCTCTGTTGCATAATCCTGACTGTATTCCTTTATACTCTGTGGAAATTATTGTATGAACAGCTATACCAAATTTTGACACTAAAAAGACTTGAAAAGCATTTACCATTTCTACAATTTGCCAGCTGAAAGTTATAGGATACACCAGCACCACAAATCCTAATTGGTTTCAGTTTGCACTCATTTACACATAGTATCTCATTTTGGAACAAGACACTTACCTTGTGGTTTCCCTACCAGAGTGTGTGTTGCAAGTTGCTTCAGCCAGTGAGCAATGGCACTGTGAACACATAGGGTGCAGCAGGCAATGGAGCAGTTATAGCAGAGTACTGGCATGATAAAGAATGCACTGCAAGAAGTTTCCACCTCAAAACCCAGTATAGAGGCTTAAAGCACCAGCCTGCCCACCCACCCCCTTTTTTTTCAATACAAATGTAAATTGAAAATGCACAGAATTTGTTTGAATAATAATATGACATTTAAGAGTAGCTGATGTCCATAAAGTGCATGTTAAAATGTTTGTATGAGATTAGAACAGAAAAAGCAATGGAGTACAATAGGGGGCCCTCATAATTTTGTAGAGTTTCTGCACTATTAATGTAGTACACATTATTAGCTCGCGTACAGTCAACAATTCTGAAAAAGATGTAGGCTGACCAGAAACTAATCAGGTCAGCTGCTGTCTCATCTTAAAACATCTGAAACCCTGCATGATGTTAAAAAAAAGCACCAAAAATAAAGTAATAATTTAACAACCATAAGAAAGACAAATAAATGATAAATAATGAGCCAAAATCATTTCAGACTCATCTTCATATGTTACTGTTTTTTCTTTCCTGCATGTTTGTGCCAAATGACCACTAATGGGATTGGCATTTTTGCAGAACATTCAAAAGAGTTCAAAGAGAGAAGAGACAGTGTGTGTTGTGTTTTATGTACGGTACATAGAACAGTTTACATTTTAAAATTCGTTCGGCTATGGCAGATAACCACCCACATCTTCATTTTACTCACATTTACTGTTACTGCTGCCAGAATCATGAAAAGCAATGCTTATATTGTGTTACAAAGATGTATTTTTCTAGAAAGCAGCCACCAGAAACTAGATATATAAACTAAAATGAGGACAATACTGGTAACAGACACTGTAAATAAGGGTTGAAATGTTACTCCTCATCACTCGTTACATTTTGATTATATGAAAAATTGGATGAAATTTAATATTTTTATCATTAATGATGTGTGCACACGTGTGCACATGTCCCTGTGTGTGTCTTTGAGTGGGAGGGGAGGGCAAGGAGGAAGATGGGAGTGGATGTCAACCATCTCACTGAAGGTATAAATCTCACTAGTGGCTGTATGAGATATAAAATTTGTAGATGAGGAGCTCATTCTCTTGGAACAGAAACAACCTGTGTGAGTATCTTTTGGACTTGTTTTTGCTTCATATTATCTTTTAAATATTATTGTAATAATATATGATTAAGCAGTTTAATCTGTCACAATCATTAGAAGGTTTAATCACACTTAAAGTGTATATACTGTATAAATGTTAGGTAATTGCTTTATTAGTTTATTAGTAATTATCAAAAGTAACAGCAAAAGCATTATTCACTTTCCTGTTGCCACATCAACAAGACTCATCAGTTGATGCTCAGAAAATGATTTAGAGTCCAAAATACCAGCTTTTAGTTTGTAAGAGGTTTTTACAGTATTGTGACCAAAATATCAGGTCAAGTGTGTTTTCAGGGATTTGTCAAGTTAATACACTGTGGCCTTGCTGTAAAGAAATATGTTTACAGGAAACTGTGATATAATTAAACCCTAAAAACTCACCACACAAACTACTAAAACACAACCTTTTATCAGTAACGTCCGCATCAGTAATTAATCAAATGATTTCCAAAAGTAGGAACCAGTATCAGTAAGTCCTGCCGCACAAATTCTGCTCATGTCTTTAAAATGACTTTGTTCAATACTTTAACAATGGATTAAAATGCAAGATGTTTCGCTTGGAGTGACAATTAGCTCTATGGCATTTTTTATTTTTGCTTCTTTCAGCTCATTTTTAATTTTTGAACTTGTGTACTCACTCCCAGGCTAACAAAGTTAGTGACAAGCTGGTGAACAAAGGGAAGTGTTTAGCTGCTAAAGATTCAGAACTTTCTCATGAATTTATGACACTAAAAAACAAGTCTTAGCTCTTCTAATTCTTTTTCTCCACTTGTTACACAGGAATCAGTAAGACGTACCAATGGGGCAGTTCAAATCCAAACATGACGGGTTGGTCCCAGGTTTTGCCCCTCGTGTTCGCACCTCAACCAGTGAAGAAGAACCTCCAAGGTACTCATCACAGCATTTTGACATCAGCACCCAGCAGCAAGGTGGTAACCTCCAGATCCCTTCGATTGTTGTGTCAGAGATGGATTTAAGGTTTGTGTTGTTATCACCTTTTATCCAAGTTCACTTTCTACATCAGATTTTACTTTTCCAAAGTGTACTTTTCCAAAAACTGTATCCTTAACCTAAAATTTTATTCTGTTTCCAAACACCATTTTGCTTTGGCTACCTGTTTGACAGTGCATCAGAGGACCATGACTCGAGGATCGAGCTGCGGAGATCTTCCTTGTATAGCACATTAGACCAGGTGCCACAGCTGGAGCATTATGCTAGTACCCTGCCACGGCAGCAAGCAAGGAGCCGACCTTCACTGGGAACTCTTCGCAGGGTATCTCAGGTAAGTTCTTACTCTGTAGAATCACATCTGAAGGAACCTTATTTACCTTAACATACCCTTGTCTATTGAACTATGAATAAATATAGTATAGTAATACATCATTAATATAGTCTGGACCTTATATTTTAGGTGCTTCATTGCTTTGTAGAGAGTGTACATTGTATCATTTGCAAGCAAGCATTAAGTTTAGAATACTATAAAAATGTAGTTTTTCTGTTTAAATTCTGTTATTCTCAGGAAGTGGAGGCAGGGATGGAGATGCCTAACATTGCCTCAGACTCAGGAGTTAGCGGTCTGCCAGTGACTGACAGTGGGAATGTAGAGTCAGAAGTTCTGAAGGAGAAAGCTCCTGTAAGATTTGGCTGGGTGGTTGGTGTCCAGGTGAGGGGAGTTTGTTTATTTGTACAGACTGTAGAAAATGGTCAAAAGTCATATACACTGTGTATCATATACACTGTTTTATTGCCCAGCAAATGAAATGGTGTTACAAACATCCCAGTAAACATTCACAGAGCTGTTTTTAATTATCTTTGTTCACAGATGCGTTGCATGCTGAATATCTGGGGAGTCATCCTGTTTCTCCGCTTGTCGTGGATCACTTCTCAGGCAGGCATCTGTGAGTTAACAGTCATTCCTCCATTCAGTCCCTTTGTCTTCTTTTTTTGTTGTTGTAAAACACCCTTGCTCTACTCTTGCCTTTTCATTTATGGCTTTTTATTGATTTACTCAAATAACTTGTATAACCAATATTTTCAAATATAAAATTGTGTAGAATAAAATAAATATAATACAATATGGATAAATAGCTCAGAGAATAAACAGACTAATTCACAATAGAACAAGCAGCATTTGCCTTCTATCAAAGTCATACTGGACAAAGTAATTTGTGGATGTAATAAAGAGATGTATACTAAGCAAGGAGTTCTGCAGTACTATGGCCATACAGTAAGTATTCAGAAGTGTCATAATAGTGATTAATACCATATATATTCTAATTTCAGTGTTGACCTGCCTTATTGTCCTGATGTCTGTGACGGTGACCATATCAACTGCTCTCTCTATCTCTGCCACTGCCACCAATGGAAGAATAAAATCAGGTCAGTTGTTTCTTGTGTCTGCAGAAATCAGAATTCAAGCTACAGTAATGTTAGAATATTGCACATGGTGTCATTCTAATTGTTTATTGTATTCATTTTGTGTAAATAATTGTGATGTATTAGAAAAGATAACAGTCTTGTTTGTGTGACTCTCCTGTGGTATGAAATCATGTTCAGGTGGTACATATTTCATGATCTCCCGCTCTCTGGGTCCTGAGGTTGGCGCACCAATTGGGCTGATCTTTTCCTTTGCCAACGCTCTAGCTTGTGCGCTTAACACTGTGGGCTTTGCAGAGGTGGTTCGTGATCTAATGCAGGTACTTAATTTTCTTCATCACAGTGTTCTTAACACAATAAAAATAAAGGTTTTACAAAACATAAAAATATAGATACTTATTGAACTCAGGAATCCTTGATAGCACATATTTATTTTGTTTATATTTTAGATCTCTACTGAGCTTTTCATTACACAGAAACATTTTATGTCATGAATTTTGGCTTTAACTTACTGTAGAGGTAGTTCTTCCTCTGTGAACTGTTGATTTGATTAATGTAGGATGACTTCGGTTCCGTCATTATCGATCCCGTTAACACAGTACGTATTGTGGGCGTGATCACGGTGACTGTTCTTCTTCTCATTTCACTGGCTGGCATGGAGTGGGAGTCCAAGGTGAGGCATCCTGAGCACATCTCATTTTGCTTACCAACAGATCTCTTTAGATCTTACTTGCTATTACTCTTTATCATATGTTTCTTCCCATTTCTTTCCTTTCTTCTCTTCATTTGTGCCTCTTTCTCAGGCCCAGATCTTGTTCTTTGTGGCACTCTTGGTCTCATTTGCTGGCTATTTGGTGGGCACCTTCATCCCTCAGACGACAGCAAAACAAGCCCAGGGCATCTTTGGATACCGCAGTGAGTTTAGACTTAGACTCAGGACCAACCTGTGCATTTATAGAGCATCTGTGTCAATAACAGTGTTTGACACTAAAATGCAAAACTTAACTGGATTCAGTTAGTCTAGAATCTGCAGGTTGTATCCAGACATTATCAGATAACAGTAGACTTTTTGTTGCCCATCACCAGGTGACATCTTTGTATCGAACCTGACACCAGACTGGAGAGGCGCTGATGGCGACTTCTTCAGGATGTTTTCCATTTTCTTCCCTGCCACCACCGGCATCCTCTCTGGAGTCAACATCTGTGGAGACCTCAAAGTATGACAAGAAAGATACTGTAGATACCTCTTTAAGTGTAACCACTAAGCAGAACTACATAATGTTGATTTGCTTATTATTTCTTTTTTCCAGGACCCTGCTACTTCTATCCCCAAAGGCACCCTCCACGCCATTTTCTGGACTACAATCAGCTATTTAGTTATTCCGTTAACTGTTGGTAATTTACTGACTTAATGCTTTTATTTAGTTTAGCCTTTGTTTACATTTGATTAGTTTCTTTGAACTTGTAGAGATTATTTAAGGTATGGTACGTAGTTTGGGACAAGAGACAGAAGACATGGCAAATGAGGATTTATCACTCATAGGGCAGCGTCATCAGTGTATTACATAAGCAGGAAAGTGTTGGTGGGCCTGAAATGGTAGGAAGAGGAACCCTTTAAACCTACACAACACCCTTTAAACCTTTGCTGAAGGCTTGAACACAAACACCTGTTCAGTTATTATAGCTGCTTATTTTACAGCTGCAATTACTATAGTTTTTATTCCTCATAAACACTCCCTGGTCACTTTATTAGGCACACCTGTAATCAGTAATTTAATGAGCAGTTGCAGTCCAAAAGTGTCCATTCTGAAATATCATTGCATTTTCCTCCAGGGGCATGTGTGATACGGGATGCTTCTGGAAATGTCAATGACACTCTGACTGCAAACAGCACTGGGACCTGTGTGGGGATGGGATGTAACCTAGGCTGGAATTTCACAGAGTGCACCCTGTCACAGTCATGTCAGTATGGTCTGGCCAACAATTTAAAGGTATTGTTCAGTCAAGTAGCAAAAGGCCTTATACCTGTTAATATAATGTCATTTTAAATATAATAATACATATTAAATATTGCCTCTTAATATAAATATGATTGTAATAAATATCCATCCATCCATCCATCCATTTTCTTCCGCTTATCCGGGACCGGGTCGTGCGCTCGGCTTCCTAGTGTCTGCTCCTAAAATCTTTCAGGTGAGAAACCACAGGAAAAACCCAGTGTTCAATAGATCCAACTGTCAAAATTTGACTTTAACAAATGAACCCACTTCTGTAGTAGTAAAACAATAAAACAAACTTACAGAAGTGTGATGTTTTTGACTGCTCTGCCCAGAGTCCCTTTTTCAGACACTAAACTTGAACAGCATGTTTTACATAGTCTTGAGCTACTAGTATGCTGTTTTCATCTACAAATAAAGTGTGTATATATTTTTTTCTAACTTTTGATTGCAGAAAAGTGCTTTACCCTTTATCACAGCCATTTCTGTATTTGATAAGTTGCTTGTGGTGTCATCATTACTGGTGGATAAAGTTGCATGGTGAGCAAGCACTGTGCTTTAGTAGAATACAACAGTTTGCATTAGATCCCAAGTCCTGGGAGTAGATACTGGGGAATGTGAAGCACTCATAGCTACAGCATATTTCCCTTGATATGAACCTAACTTTCACCCTAACCAGCCTTTATCCCAACCTCCACATGATTTTATTTCATATTAACTTTTTTTTATCACCCTTGTCATGACCCTACTCGGGCGACCTCGTTAACACCCACACCACATTAAGAACCATGGCTATAGAGTGACGTAGGAAATGGTACATGTTCTGTCTATAAAGATGCTGTTCATTTTCTACCATTAAAAAAATTCTGATTCACTTGCTGGGTTTCACCTTTTTTTGTTTAATAAATGTAAATTTTATACCTTGTTGGCCAGTGTCTGTGCCGAGACAACATATACCCATACATTGGATTTTTTGGAAAGGGTTATGGGAAAAATGATGAGCCACTTCGTGCGTATATCCTCTGCTATGTGATTGCTGTGGCCTTTATTCTCATTGGTGAGTGCCATCTAATATTTTTGCCATTTTTCATTGGAATTATTAATTGACACATTTGTTTTAAATGATAATCACTTCATAAAGTTGTTTTGTTGTTGCATAAAACATAATGTCGATTTTTCATCGCTGTACCATCACAGCTGAGCTGAACACCATCGCAGCCTTGATCTCCAACTTCTTCCTGTGTGCCTATGGCCTCATCAACTTCAGCTGCTTTCATGCCTCAATCACCAACTCACCAGGTGAGTTGGTGATTCACACACCTCACTGTGCAGTACACATCACCACACAAGAACTTGTCCACACTAAATGACAGTGTTGGTTCTTTAAAAATGAAGACGACCATGGTCTTTCTCAAGGTTGTCAGTTGTCACTGCTTTACAAAATGACTCTAACTTCAGCTGTTCAGCCACAGCTAAAGTTTAGGGCAGGGCTTCTCAAAGCCCAGACTCCGGTCAGGATACCACACAGCAAGTCAATCCAGACCTAGCTCACACCTTGGATTAGGAATGCAGTAATACAGTGCATTGAATTGTATGTTTTCTGCTTTGAAGAAAATGTTTTATACTTATCAGTAAATTGTTAGTTTTGTAGACTATAGTCTATTTGGTGATCGTTACAGCGATCCTGGCCCGAAAATAAGGTTAAACATAATCGTTTCCCTGTTTGACATTGTTGTCATGGCAACTTTCACAGTCTGCATTTATATGACGTTTAACGTCAACAAGTGACAGAGCTCAAGGGTCAGCTAACAGGTGACCGAGTTAGCTAATGGCTAAAGCTGTTCACAGCTGTCAGTGTACATCATGTTGCCAATGCAGTGAGCATGTCACTGAGTTACAATAATTAGAGGTGCCTATATTTTTGTCCTCCCTGTTTACATACATAAAAGGGTCAGAATATTAGGAATACCGCTGACTGGAACGAAGTCCAGCACAACACCACCTTTAACTAGGACCCCAATAATAAACATATAATTGAATTTCACCAAAAACTGAAACACTGAGCTTCATAAACACATATTAGAGATTCTGTGTTGCACCACCTGAAAGTCTTCACTGTCATCACTGTAGGTTGGAGGCCTTCATTTCACTACTACAGTAAATGGTCGGCTTTGTATGGAGCAGTGATCTCTGCACTTCTGATGTTCTTGTTTACCTGGTGGGCTGCGCTTGTCACTTTCGGCATCATCTTCTTCCTGTTAGGTTATCTCCACTACACCAAGCCAAGTGGGTCAGAGAACATATTTTCAAGTCGAAATGTGTTCTGTACAATAGATAAAATAATTGGAATAAATAACAAATTTATTCCACTCTGTTGTATTTGACTCCCAGTTCTTTCAACTACTGTACAGCTCACTTATTTTTCTTGACATCTGCAGAGATAAACTGGGGTTCATCGGTCCAGGCAGGTACCTACAACATGGCTTTGTCGTCCTCTGTCTCTCTTTCTGGAGTGGAGGATCATGTCAAGAATTTTAGGTGAGTGATCATAAAATAAATTATAACTATAACTCAGTTATCAAATCACTTCAGCTGATTATTATATGAAATGTGTCATTCTTGTGAGTCCCAGTATCACTTCAACACTGGCTGCAGCACTGGTGTTTAACACCAAGACAATATACTGTATAAGATGTTTAATAGTATGCTGAATCCATTTTAACTCTAATTGAGCACTAATTTATTGGAACAGTATTGCATTCACTTTAAATCTTGTGGAGTTGGATATCAGTGGTGATAGTGTTGATTTAAACTTTGTCTGTTGGTCCTCATCTCTGTCCTCTGGTGTGTTCTTCCAGGCCACAGTGTCTTGTCCTGACTGGGCCCCCAAACCAGCGACCTGCTCTGGTAGACTTTGTTGGATCCTTCACGGAGCACATAAGCCTCATGATCTGTGGAGACATCATCATGGTCGGTCCTTCAGCCTCACCAGTCTTGTTCCTTACAGCAGCTGTTCATCACTTTCACTAGTCTTGTTGAATGTCTTTCACCTCCATTTGTGTCTGTCCTGATGTTGCCTTGTTGTGTAAAGATAATATTGAATTCCTGCCTCCTCTAGGAGCAGGAGAGGCAGACTCGACCACACGACGCCACAGACAGCATGGTGAAGTGGATGAAAAAGAGGAAGGTGTGCTCGTTTTATACTCCTTTCACTGCAGAGAGCCTCAGAGTTGGAGCTCGACACTTGTTACAGGTACAGCTACAGCTATTTGAGAAGCTGGATGTGTTTATCTGTGGGAAGTTTTACTACTTTAAATGTACAAAACACATTTAATAGGAATTTAGCTTGATTGCAGGTTTAACAAAGTTGTCACATGCTTGTAATTTTCAGAGATGGTAATTAGTTTGCTTCAGTGCCCACAGGTGGCTGTACTGTAACATTGCTGTTACAAATTATTTGTTTTTACCTCCACTTTCATTCATTTCTCACAACATCTATTACTTTCTAATTATTTCTTTTAAAGAACATTGAATCATATTGTTTTTCTCACTGTAAGACCTGAGCCTGCCCATGTAGTACATGTACTTCCAGTATGTTTTTGACCCTAAAACACTCTGTTCTCATTCACCATTTCTTAAGGCCTCTGGTCTCGGCAAACTGAAGCCCAACACTCTGGTCCTGGGCTTCAAGTCAAACTGGAGGGAGACTGCTCCTGAAAGCACAGTAGATTATATTAACACTATATAGTAAGTTGGTCCTTATTAATGGTGCATTGTAAAGAGAACAGATTTGCAGGGCCTTCAGGTGGATTTTTAACATGTTTTTATGGTCTTGCTGGAAATAAAAGATTGTATATATAGTAAGGTTACTGAATCACAATTTTGCACAGACCTTTAAAAAACATGTTAACTTATCCCTTGTCTACTGCTGTTCTATGACCTAGTGATACCTTTGACCACAACTACAGTCTATGTATCCTGAGGATGATGGACGGCCTCGATATCTACAGCCACTATGAATTTGAAGGTTAGAAATCTACATTTCCACAATGTCTTTGAATGTTCTCCATGTGATTTTTATTTACAATATGACACCTTTTGTGCACCATTGAAAGATAAAATATCTTTGTTCCAGTGAACCACGGGTTTGAGTCTGATGAATATGCAGAAAATGACCACAAGGAACATAGTGAGATGAAATCAGGTGAGCACTTAACTGTACAGGTTTACATGTTGTTGGGACACCGCATTGACTTGCGCTCATTTCTGTAGAATTTGCTGCTGCTGGGAACAATGTGACATTTTCCTCTGAGCCTTGCATAAGCAAATATAATCCTAGTCTATAGTTGAACCATTAACAACAAAGCCAACCCACCGTTAGGTCAGTGAATACAAACTCAGACTTTGCAGGAAAAAACATTTATTGTAAAAACAGGTTTGTAGTGATGGCATTAGCCTGCAGTTTACTCCACATGATTTTGTTTCATTTAAACTTAAATTTATTACCCTTCCCCTAATTCTCTGAGGAGCCCCACTGCAACACTGTCACCCATAAAGAACCACAGTTAGAATGAATAAAATTATTGGCCCCACTCTTCACTGCTGCTCCTCTTGTTGTCACAGTTGAGGACATCTCAGACAAAGACGACAGCGATCAGACCAGGACAGTGTTTCAGAGTGACCAGGGGAAGAAAACCATTGACATCTATTGGATCGCTGATGATGGAGGTGAGCACAGAGAGGGGTTTGATCAAAACAAGCACAATACATCGGTTTTCCACCCATCATCTAAAGCACTTATCCTGTAGGGTTGTGGAGGTACACCGCTTATGTCAGCTTATTATGATGTGTGCATCAAATGCATGATGAAGAATGGGGATGATAATCTATATAGCAACCTCAGTAAAAAAAAAAATAAGAAAGAACTTCAAGATATTAGGATGATCAACGTTAACCCTCAGTGGTGTCCTCTTTGGTTTTTGGATAAAGGGCAGTCTTCATCTCTTCCCTCCTGACAGCCACAAATCTAAGTTGTCTTTTTTTTTTCTTAAGTGCGGTCTTTGTTGTCATCTTACCTTTAAAGGTCTGACTCTGCTGGTACCTTACCTGCTCACCAGGAGGAAACGCTGGAACAGCTGTAAGGTCAGGGTCTTCATCGTGGGAGATGAACAGAACATGGACGAACGCCTCAAAGAGTAGGTTGTCTCTGGTTAACCTTCTGGGATAACTGTTAGTATTTGTATTTTTAATAATTGTATTTTCAAACACTGGAGAATCCACCAAACTTGAATTACCTGAATTATGAGCAAACGTTGTTGAGCAAGACAGCTTCCCGTCCTGGTGCACACCGAAAACCTTTAAAGATAACAGTTTTGGTCATGTCTCTGTACATTTTTGTCCCTGTAAAGTTTTCTTGAGCTGCAAAAATAATTTACTTCAAAAATCCAAATACAGTACAGAGAAGTAATCTTAGAAAATCATTTATTCTAAATTCCATATATTCGGTCATGCAGGGTGTTTGAATTGAAAAGACTTAATCTTGAGGATTTAGTGTAATACAAAGAAATATCAGATTTCCCCCTCCAGTCCTGTTGCATGATGTGCATAATGATCTGTGGAAAGAAATGTAAACATTTTGACTGTTGTTTCTTTTAGGATGATCGCACTGCTGAAGAGATTCCGTCTGGATTTTAATGACGTTATTGTCATGACTGACAGTGAGAAGCGTCCACACTCGAAGAAGTATGCTGCCAAAACTCTTGCATTCGCCTTCAGTGTTAGAACATACACTGAAAACTGAATAGTTGTAGTGATAGTGGAAGAAATCAGCCTAATAATGATTACAAATGACGCATTTTAAAATCTACTGTGTGCAATACACCATGTGTTATGAATGTTAGGATGACTTCAAAGAATACAGATCTAGATCTCCGTAGTTTTTGTAGATTTTAGCTCATTGACCTCTGTCCTGTTGTTCTTGTTCCTGCTCAGCCTGAGTAGGTTTGTGGACAACGTTGCTCCCTTCAGGCTAAATGATGAACAGCAGGATGGTATCTCAGTGGAGGAGCTTAGACAAAGTGTCCCGTGGAAAATATCTGACAAGCAGTTTGAGGCCTTCAGACTTAAGGTATTTAGGGTGTACACTTGTTGTGGCTAACCCAAGATGCTGTCCCTTATAATGTCATCTGCTGTGTCAAATGCCTCCATACATGAGATCTTTCAGTTGCTTGTCCCTATATGACAGATTGTTGCATATTTTTTCTCCTTTCATAGTCTGAGAGAAAAGTGAGACTGAATGAAATCATTCGGAGGAATTCACAACAAGCTGCTCTCGTGCTTGTGTGAGTACACAGTTTGTATTATTAGTTAAGTTTTGGACATGAAGGATTAAGAAGAATATGACATCAAGACTTACCAGACGTACAATACTGCACAATTTAACTTAGAAGAAGAAAGTACTCATTTCTGATATATAGTGTGAAGTGTCTACTGCTTCAGAGTGATGGAGGGGTCTCACAGGGTGGGATATTTTTTAGAGGTTCAAGTTAAACATTGCCCTGGAAACAACACAAGCCCAGTGTGACACCACAAGAATGTTTCCACTCTAGTACATGGCACCGCAGACATAACCACAACAAGGCCTACATATGTCACCACTTTCAGAGTCTCACAGTAGGAGCTGCTGCACATTGCTGTTCTCTTCCAAATGAGACAAATCACCACTAACATAGATCTCGTCAGACGTTTCCATAAACACAGCATGTCTATGGCTGCTCATAATTAGTCGCTCAGATCAGCATTTTAAAACAGCATTCTGAAAAGCTAACTGGTCATAAAGCTGGCAGCTGCACTAAAAGCTCAGTGGCAGCTGGAGGTGCATGTGAGACTACCTCAACTACATGCCACTGTAAATAGACTTCCATGTACCTGATGTGTGCCTTAGTGCTGTTCACTACCAGCAGATGGTGCCAAAGAAAAAAGTCTTAAATCCTACAAATAGTGGTTGTAAGGAAAGTGGCCAACAATACTAAAAACTGTAAAGCAAACTGTAGGTTATCATCTGTGAACAGTTATATTAAGAAAATTATATTTTATTTCAATAGCTTGTTTAAAAGTAGAAATCACTTGCACCATGTTTTTTTAAAACATATACAGATTAAAAGAAAAAAAAAAGAGCACACTTTTTTAAGACCGTTGGCTTGAGGGTGTAGTAGTAAATTGTTTTCCCCCCATCTGAGCGCACTGGTTGTAAATCCACTCCCTGCCAATACCTGTCATCAGCAAATTGCTACTGTACCCAAAAAAAGAGAAAAGACATCGGATATGAAATGTTGTAAATAAAATACAGATAGATTAAAACAAGCACATTTGGTGTTCTAAAACTTTAACATAAATACAGAGAAAAGAGACTGAAAAGAGGATCACACACTGACACAAGTAAAAAATTACCCTACTCTCTACACGCAATGATTCCTTCCCAAGCAGCCTGTCCAGGAGGGGATGTGGGACAGCCTTGAACTTCTCTCCAGCTGAGATCTGCTGGAAGTGGGCTAGGGCATGTTCCTCTGCAGCCTGCCCCACCTGGACCAGTCCATAGATCTCAGCCAGGACCAGCACATCCAGACAGATGCTTTCATCCATCTTGTCCTGCAGGAAGTTGATGCACAGCCAGGGCAACCCCTGCAGCTGGAGCTGAAGTCTGGGCTGATCCATATAGATGAAGCCAGCTATGGATTCAATTACCCGGAAAGGCATGTTTTGCAGGCACACAACATCCTCACTGGACTAGCGTAATCCTCCACAGAGCAGTGCCTGGAAATAGTCCCCACTTGCTGCTAACAGCAAATGGTGTGCTTAGAGGGGCAGAGGGTGGTAAAGGAAGGGTAAAGCCACAGAGAGAGAGGGGATAAAACGAGAGAGATAAAGATCTGACAATAATAAAGAAAGGCTTCCTCATCAGAGCTACTAAATAGAATAATAGAAACAACACAATACAAACTAATGCCACTCAATGACAAAAATGCCTATCATTTTATAACAAATACATCATACTAGTGTATACATATAAACATTTGTCCATTACAATGTCTTACATTTGTGTTTGTCAAGCTCTTTTAGCACTGAAATTGTTGGGTAATTCGTATGTAATGGAGAAACAATAGTAGGCAGGTTTTCAACAAAACACAAAACATCCGTTGTAGACTGAGTAAACATGTGAGTCACTGCTGAACACAGTTTTTGCAACCATTGTAATGGCTTTCTCCTCTTAGTTGCATAACCAACAGCTGATAAAGAAACATGTTGATGATAGGAAAGGGCCTCTGAGAAATGTATATCGTTAACTTAGACGGAAGTACAAATATTTTTGTTATGCTACGTTAAACAGTATATCCACGCTACATTTCACAGAGAAATGTAGTTTTACTCAACTACCTATAACTTAAAGCTACAGAATGTTTGCTATAAAAATTTCACATTCACAACATTTTCTCAGTTAATAAAATCAGAAGTAGTTTTAGTTTAGTTCTTTTGTTGTAAACATAACCTTGCTCATAACAGAACTGCAGTTTTTGCTGTCATGTGTTATCACATATCATTTATTAATATACTGCAGTGATCAGTTAAATCACTCCTTGTAGATGACTCTGGTACCTGTAGCAACACACTCCCACTATTGCAGATGTTGCACAACAGTATTACGTTGCTTCTGACAGACAATTATAACTGATACAGACATGGTCTATTGTCAGGAACATGTAAACAAAGGTTAGTTTGCCATTTGAACAAATGACTTGTGCTTTTTTTTGCCTTGAGGATATCTTCATTTGCCTCTTACCTGAGTATCTCTGCTTGTATTGTGACATCACATCCCACTCCTCGCTCCCACATGTCCCCTGTCTCTCTCTGTGGCCACAGAGGTTGTGACCCTTTGATGTACACCTTTGCCTAAGCCTGTCCATCTTTAGACACCAGCAAGCATTAAGCACTTCCTCCATTACCTCCTCTTTATCTAAGCCCATGGCAATGTTTCCACAGTATGCAAAGTGTAGAACAGCCCAACAAATGCACCAGGAGTTTCACTGGCAGCTGCCAGCACCAATTTGTGAGCTTTCAACAAGTTGCCCTGGACAGGAAAGGTGCAGTCCAGGAGTAGTCCTTCATCCTGGCAGCGATGTCGTGGTTATTCTCTATTCTGGTTGTCTTGTAACAAACTGAGAGCTTCTATACAGGAGTCAATTTCATGTACTTTATGTTCAGACATCTGTGGTAGTTAAGATGAATTTGATTTTGGTTTAGTTCTGGTTTTATCAGAGTTTAATCAGAGGTTTAGTTTTTCCTTGGTCTAATTAAGTTGAAAAAAGTATTTAGCTTAAACCAATTTGGTTTTAATAGGAACTGCAGTTGTATCTGAAAGAGTTTGTTTCAAATTATTTTTCTGTTTAGTAGAGGTTTTGCTTTTTATCTGGAAGATTTTCTCTTTCAGGAGGAAATTTACTTTCCTAGCCTTGTCCTGAAGTCTTTCCAGTTCTTGTACCACGCTAATTTTGAGAGACGAGGCAGTCCAAGTAACTTCAAAACAGTGCTGATTTATTCAATGAACACAGGTAAAATTAACATTACACACTCAGGTATCTTGCACCCCCAACATGCACGCAGGCAGCTGGAAGATGAAAGACCCTGAACCAAACCAGTCCTATACATTTATCTCTTTGGTTGGGCTAGCCCCATTCTACACAGGAACGCCAAACCGTGATGTCTCTGGTGCCAGCTTTGCAGCTGGTCATAGCAGTAGTCAAAACATGAAGAAAATCAATGTGTGTGTGTCTGTTGATTAAGTGGTGTGTAGCTAAAAACATTCTAACACGACATCTAGTGACATGTCATGACATTAAACATAAGAACATATTATGGCTAAGGCTACAGTTATACACATAATAATATTAAACATCCTGTCCGCTGACAGTCATCAACTTTCTATCTAGTTATCCCTGACCATGTGCACTCTGTAAAAAACTCATGACAATGACTAAGCATTTAAACAGTCTAACTAGACATCCTGTCTCCACTAAACATTTCTAATACATAAAGTATCTAACCAGTATCTATCTGACTAAAAATACCTAACCGTCCTTAAGGGCTTTATACAGTATATTAGGAGAAGGATTTTAAATTCTAATCTATATTTTACAGGGAGCCAGTGGGGAGAAGTTGTTCCGTTTGTGCTGCTCAAATATGTCCAGGTGTCCATTTTCTGGAAAAGAATTACTCCAGCTGACAATGTATTGATAAACTGATCACTACAGTTCCACTTCTTGCAAGTGGCACCTCCAAATCTTGTGAAGTGAGGGGGAGATGCACACCAGCCTTTTCCCAGCATATTTCAAAAGTTCTGGTGGCAATATTGCACAAGTAAAAGAAGGCAGTTCTAGAGACCTGTCACATACACAGTCACTGCACTTATTTACTCTGATATCAGACACTCATTAATTACCCTCATGATCCCTGACATGGTGTTCTAGCCGTTATAAATATAACCTCGCCTACAAAATGAAATATCAACAAATGTGTTATGACTGACACACCCAAGTTCACCCGAGGTCATACTGTCAGCATGTCCAAAGTGTCAGAGAGTCTTTGCACTGTTGCATAATCCTGACTGTATTCCCTTGTATTCTCCGGAAGTGAATTTATGAACAGCTATACCACATTTTGACTCTAAAAAAAGACTTAAAAAGCTTTCACCATTTCTACAATGTGCCAGCTGAAAGTCATAGGATACACCAGCACCACAAATCTTAATTGGTTTCAGTTTGCAGTATAAGGATTCTTCACTGATTTACACATGGTTAGTATCTCATTTTGGAACAAGACACTTACCTTGTGGTTTCCCTACCAGAGTGTGTGTGTTACAAGTTGCTTCGGCCAGTGAACAATGGTACTGTGAACATGTAGAGTGCAGCAGGCAATGGAGTAATTTTAATTATAGCAGGGTACTGGCATGATGAAGAATGCACTGCAAGAAGTTTCTGTCTCAAAAAAGTCACCCAGTATAAATACTTAAAGCACCAGCCTGCCCACCCACTAAATATTTTCAATATAACTAAATTGAAAATGCACAGATGACATTTTATTAAAGCATCATGATCAACATCACCTGGATTTCAACATTTTATTTTCAAGAAAATCTAACTACAGGAATTCCACCCTCAACCTTCAGATTCTTTATAAGTATTTACAAAATTTACTACTTTAATTTCTGAATTACACTATTTGGCTACATATTTGCAAACATTTTTGGCATAAATAACAGCTATAAGTTGGTAAGACTTAGAAACTAATTATTAGTGATTCAAGAAAAAAAATCAATTTGTGCTAACAAATCAAACTATTAATAGTTTTTTAAAATACATTTTAACATTGTTTCATATTCTTTACCATCTTTGGAAAGCTGTTTGAATGATTAAATTTATATTTCAGAGTAACTGATGTCCTTAAAGTACATGTAAAACGTTGGTATGAGATTAGAACAGATAAAACAACAGAGTAGAATAGGGGGCCCTCATAACATTACATAATACTAGCTCGCGTACAGTCAACAATTCCGAAAAAGACGTAGGCTGACCAAAAACTGAGATCAGCTGATGTCTCATCTTAAAACATCGGAAACCTTATTTGACGTACAATAAAGCATTACCAAAATAAAGTAATATTATGTAATAATGACAACAATAATAATGACAATTAAATGATAAATAATGAATAACAAGGCATAAACATTTCAGACACATCTTCATATGTTATTGTTTTGTCTTTTTTCCCTCCATGTTTGTGCCAAATGACCACTAATGGGATTGGCATTTTTGCAGAACATTCAAAAGAGTTCAACGAGAGAAGAGACATTGTGTGTTCTACTTTGTGTACGGTACATACAACAGTTTACATTTTAAAATTCATTCGGCTATGGCAGATAACCACCCACATCTTTATTTTACAAGTTTACTAGAAACTAGATATGTAAACTGAAATTATAAGAGTTTAACATAGGGAAAACATTGGTAACAGGCAATGTAAATAATAGTTGAAATGTTATTCCATATCATTTGTTGCATTTTGATTAAACAAAAAATTTGGCATTTCATTATCATGAATGATGTGTGGGCACATGTATGCACGTCCCTTTGTATATATTTGAGTGGGAGGGAGGGCAAAGAAGAAGATGGGAGTGGATGTGAACCATCTCAATGAAGGTATAAATTTCACTAGTGGCTGTATGAGGTGTAAAATCTGTAGATGAAGAGCTCATTTTCCTGGAACAGAAACAGCCTGTGTGAGTACCTTTTGGACTTGTTGTTGCTTCATATCATCTTTTAAATATTACTGTAATAATACATCATTAAAGAGTCCATGGCTTGTTCATTTCCAGCCATTTAATGTTTAATCTTGGGTACCTCTAGATTAGCTTTTGATTTTTTTTATTTTTGATTTGATTTATTCTTTCAAGCATGTAAAGACAGTTGATATGTCAACACACATAATTTTACACATATCCAACAAATGCTAATCCAATATCAATTTGCTTATACCTAGTACATGCTTGAATGGAGTAGGAAGAAGTCAGACTTATCCAGTCCTACCCCATGACATCATCTTACATCATTGGTTTGCAAGCAGTATCTCTACAAAATAATTCTCT